GTTATCAACATTAATACATTATGCTAATTTTCATCTTTGTAAGCGCATAAGACTGTGCAAATTATTTCTGTGACAGTCTTTTGAAGTGTGTAAAGCTCCATTTTATCCCATACATAGTCAAAATATTGGGGGGATGATACAATGGACCATCCCCCCCCCATGTCAAATATTGGGGGGGGGGATATATCCCCCATCTCCCCGGGATCTACGCCTATGATTCTTATTGGCGCAGCTAGATTCAACATAGCAACTAAGGGGATGTGTTAAAAAATTGTAATGATTGCAGAGTCCTGATGCATGATTTGAGACTCATGGTAGAAGAAGCCCATTGTTAACCATAGAGGGAAACACAACTGAACGTTGGTTATTTTTAAATACGTCTATTGGGTTTGATCGTCACTAACATTTGTACTTCAGTTAATATGATTTAGCCAAAGAACAGTGCTCATAAAAATTCAGTTCGATTTTCCTACAAATAGTTATAAAAGACTCTTCTGTGGCGCAAAGTTTGATCTCGGTTGTTCTGATCACTGTATTTCGTCAATAGCCTTCCTTTAAAATCATAGCATTAGACCAATTTTGTACCGTCAAGTTCCGCCTCAGTGTTTTCTTCTGTTCACTGTGATTCGTCAATAGTTCTTTACATTACAGGGATAATAAAAAGTTGGTGTACCACAAGATCCGGAAAACGTTTTGTATTTTTAAAAAAATATGTCTAAACACTAACTATGTATAATGTCCTACCTATCGAGTAGTATTAACATGCACGATGAACAGTACTAAGTCTCAGGCATTCGGCGTGAGACTTCGGCGAACCGAATTGTCATTTAATCTTAAATAGATATAGGCCTATCTTAGTTTTAAATAGCGATATATCTGAAACAGAGGTATCTTAGTTTTAAATAGAGATATCTCTGTAGATAGTGTTATCTCTATTAAAATATTTCTATGTAAAACTAATATAAGATTCTCTATTAAAATAGAGACGCATTTATATTGCGCTTTTTCCTTTCGGTTATAAAGCGCACGCCAAGAAAACTCAAGGAGAATGTAGTACAGGCTCATAACTATGATGGGTGTCTAGAAAAGTATGATCTAGAAAAGTAAGACATAAGATTTATCTTACATTTCTAGGTCTAGAAAAGTAAGATTTTTAATGATGGGTTGTACCATTATATCATGAATTTTGATCTTAAAGCTGTAGAACAATGTTATACCATTATCTCTGAAGTGGGGTTCATTTCTACTAAGGAATTTGGAAGTAATCTATCCTTGATTTTACTGTACAGACCATTTGGCATAATTTTATTTGAATTAATAGAAATTACAGGTTGGATTAATTCATTAGATTGTTCTCTCTATGGATTGTTAAAAAAATTATAGGTAGTCATTATATGTCATATGTTGGCCTTGATTGCGTACCCTTC